GTTCTGAGGAAGGGTCACCGGACCCGAAACGTTAACCATGTTTGCTCCTCCACTGATGCTGCCAGACCTGCTGAGCTTTTCCAGCAACTTTGTTTTTGAGCCTTTCTAACCCCTTGCTTAACAAAAACCCTAACCCTATCCACCTCTGCCTTCGAAATATTCATGGAGTCTGCTTCCTCTGCATTTTCAGGAAGGGTTTCAAACTCTCTCAACCCTCTTTGAAAGCAATATTCTCCTTACCTCTGTCTTAAATGGGTGATCTCTTATTTTGAAACAGTGATCCCCACCTAGTTTTAGATTTTCCCACAAAAGGAAACTTTTTTTCCATTGTCACCTTGCCAAGACACCTCAGGATTGTATGTACTTCAGTCAAGTCACTTCTTATTCTCATCATTGTTAGGGCAGTACTCCAACACTGGTTTTGTTGTCACTAATTGTTAGTTTTTTTTTTTTTTTTAATTTATTCATTTGCCAGTTATGGGTATCGCTGGCACCAGCATTTCTTGTCCATTCCTAGTTGCCCTTGAGAAGATGGTGGTGAGCTGCCCTCTTCAACACTGGAGTCCACCTGCTGTGGGTTAACCCACAATGCCTTTAGGGAGAGAATTCCAGGAATTTGATCCAGCAACAGCAGTGAAGGAAATGCAATATATTTCCAATTCAGGATGGTGAGTGGCTTGGGAGGGGAACTTGCAGGTGGTGGTGCTCCCATACATCTGCTGCCCTTGTCCCTCTTGATGGAAGAGTTCGTGGGTTTGGAAGGTACTGTCTGAGGATCTTTGGTGAATTTCTGCAGTGCATCTTATAGACGGTGCACACTGCTGCTACTGAGCGTCGGTGCTGGAGAAAGTGGGTGCTTGTGGATGCAGTGGCAAACAAGCGGGCTGCTTTGTCCTGGATGGTGTCAAGCTTCGAGTGTTGTTGGAGCTGCACTCATCCAGGCAAGTGGGGGGTATTCCATCACATTCCTGACTTGTGCCTTGTACATGGTGGACAGGCTTTAGGGAGTCAGGAGGTGTATCACTGACCACAGTATTCCTGCTCTTTTAGCCACTGTGTTTATGTGGCGAGTCCAGTTGTGTTTCAGGTCAATGATAAACCCCAGGATGTTGACAGCGGAGGTTCAATGATGGTAACAGCACTGAATGTCAAAGGATGGTGGTTCCTGAGAAAGCAGCTTTGCGTTTTGTCCCCTAAAATGACTGCACGTCCTCATCTGTGAGCTTGTGTTAAAGGCTCACAATCTGAAGGTAAATTAGAAAGTTCACAAGTCCAACAATTTATTACATTGCCTTCAAATCAGTGGCTCGCTGCTTCTCTGCTACTTTTCTCATTTTGTCAGGATCCAGGTGAAGCCTTTTCCCTGTTATTAAATGACCTATATACACAGGACATCAGGCATCTTCAATTGTAGTTTTGCCTTTTTCAGCTTCATCTGGTTAGGTCTCTCTCTCTCTAGGAGTCACACCTGATAGTGATTGTGGTCTCCATTGGCTTCTTCCATTGTGTCTCCACATTCACCGATCATTCACAATAGCTTTCACTCTGTAAAGATCATTGGTTATCACGAGCTCGTCGGTTGCAATACTCACCTGGAGCAATGGAAACGCCAAACAGCATATACCATGCTCTGTATCTCCCAAATAATATCCAGAGTGTTAGAAAACTGATACTTTCATCCAGCTTCATGTGCCAACCTCTGCATCGAGAGATATAGGGCTTTGCCTTGGCAGGTTGTGGAAAAATTTCTTCAATGGTCGGTGTTAGATTGAGAGATCTCTAAGGTTTTATTGAGATCGTCTTAATTTTCTGGGTAGTTTCCCTGCTCCCACGCTGCTATTCCAGCCTGTAGGAGTTGTCACTTTCTTCACTACTCTCTTCTTTTCCAGCTCCTCTACTTTGTCTTTCAGGTCAGATCCGAGGGCAGGTGGAATCCTACTTGACAGGTGTTGAATGGGTCCCTGAATTTCATTCACTTCAAGAGGGCATTCACCAGGAAAACATCTTTATATTCTTCTCGGATCCGTTGAGCAGTCAATAGCTTTTGTGGCCTGAATCACACGGTCAATCTATTCTGGGGCAGTTGAGGATATCAATTCTGGTTTGACTGGCTTCAGCTATGTGGAGTGGACTTTGCTTAATGTCTATCTGCAAATTCAGATCTTCATTTGTCCCGTTAATTTGGACTCTGGCCCAACATTTCCTCTTGGCACGTGTATTGCTTCATCATACAGTCGGTCTCTTGTGTGTGTGTCAGTTTCAGTCCACCATCTTGAGCCGATTGGCACAGGCCTATGATGCTCATGCTAAGCACCAGCATCTGACACTTCACATTCACCTAGTGCTCGTGTTGTGAAATCATCATTACGCCATCACAAACCAATCACCTTTAGACCTGACAACGCCGACCTGTTTTATGATAAGAATTTATTATTATTGGTTAGCATCATCAGCTAATATCTCTGCTGCTAATATCTCACCTTTACAGGCTTGCCTAGCCATTTTTATGAGCTAAACATTTCCGCACAAACTGATTCAATTTCTCATAGTTAGGGTCCTGCTTTCCCCACGCTGGACATGCTTCCTTCTCCTTTGTGTGGTGTCCTTCACAACACTTACATATTACAGTCTGACCCTGATCTTTCTGTTGGTCTTTCTTCAAATATTATTCTCCATTTTTCCTAATCTGTTGTTTTCGTTCAGCTTGCAGCATCTTTCAGAATGATGCCAAGCCGCGTCTGTTCTCCAGTCAAGGCACTCTTGCTAATGATTGCCAATCTCAGAGTTCCTGTACATGTTGACAACTTACTTTCAAGAAAGCTTTCTCTTCTCTCAGCAGACATGCTTTCACAGCAGGATCTCTTAAATCTAAGAGAATCCTATCTCTGATAAGGTCATCTTTGAGTTGTCCAGATTGTCAGGATTAAATAGATGCATCAGTACGGTCATATACTGATCAACAGCCACTCGTGTTCTCCTTCTCTTCCCCCGAACTCTGATATTAAGCAAATAATGTTCATACATAACATTAATATGAAGTTCAAAGCATACCTTTAACATTTTCAAAATTTCTGCAGCATGACCTCATGGTTCCTCAGTGAGATCCAGGCTGCAATACAGCTGGAGGAACTCTTTTCCCCAACACTGATAATAGCAAGCTCCCTATTCTAATTTGTTCAGTCTTTTTATTTAATTCTGTAGCTTCCAATTATTTGCCAACATGTCTCATACCTCCTTTCATTTCCACCGCAGCAGGAACCGGAAAAATGCATAGCCACTCTGACTTGACAAGTACTTGAAACTGCAGAGCCCATTTTTAAAAAAATTCTTTGCTATTTCTTTCAGTAACTGGCTCTCTTACATGTATTTTGTGAATTCAACACATCTTCAGCTATACCATTCCTGACACTATGTATCAAGTAACGTCTTTTAAATGACTTCAACAAAATGCACCCAAAAGGCAAACAACTCGGTAGAAGCTACATGGCTATGAGTAGCCAGCCCATGCTCAAAGTACAAATACATTTCTCCAAACAGTGTCCCTCAGGAAACTCAATATGCTGCTCCACCTTCCTATCTTTCCATCCAAGGGAAACCTGTAATACGCCAAGCAACCCTTTCTTCCCACAGCATCCTGTCCCATAATATGGGATTGTTAACTGACTTGATATGCACTTGCCAGCAGCCAGATGGTTAAGGAACACTGGCTCTTAAAATCAGCCTTCCTCAGAAGGAGTGTCATACACACCCAAAAGAATGTCAAAGAATCCCTACAGTGCAGATAGAGGCCATTCAGCCCATTGATTCTGCTGCAAAGAGTGGACAGCATGGCCGAGTACAGACTAACAGATTAGAACAGTTCTGCATCTTTTGCACACTGCTAAAATATTGCACTCATCAAATATCAGAATAAGACAATGTGCTGTTCATATCTTTGAGGTTCTGGTACAGAGTATTGCAAGACTGGACAGCTGATTGGTATCTTGATCACAAAGGTTAATGCATACAATCTGTAGCACAACTGATGTTTCTGCCAGTTCAGTTTAACGAGAACGCCACACTAGAAATGCCACATCACAAAGTTTATGCTATAAAGTCAACAGGCTGTTCCCATGCATTGTTAATTTTGATTTGCTCAAAGTGCTTAAATTTGGCTGGGTGTCAGCAACAATAGCTGAACTTTGTCTTCTGAATTCGGTTTCTCAAACATTGGAGGATATAAACAGAAGACAAAATCAACATGCTTCACTAAAGATGGGGACAAAAACCTCTAGACACTGTTTATGTAATTTAGAAACATTCTGCCAGAGCAGACAAGTGGAAGGAAGACATCATCACACTCTGGTTAACTGACAATCTAACTAGTATGAGAATGGGAACACTCTCAATCTCATTCCTGGATCCCCCAAGTGTGCGTGCACTCTTCCCATCTTTGATGGGAATGTTCAGTCTCTCAGTCCACATCCCAGAACTTGTAATCAGTGTGCTCCTATGATGCTGCTTGGCCTGCTGTGTTCATCCAGCTCTGCACCTTGTTGTCTCGGATTCTCCAGCATCTGCAGTTCCTACTATCTCCGAGGAGTCTCCCTGTTCACTTTCAGCATCTATTTGGGAAAACCTTTGCTCTACTGGGCACTTTAACATGAATATAGGAAGTCCCCGAGTCTGCTCTCCTAGGAATTTGATAAGTACACTCCAGAGACTGTCAGTATTCTGAGGAAATGTCCTCCTTTGCTGGTCAGTCAGTCGTGAATACAACAAAGTTCATGACCTTTCCAATATCACAGAACCAGATGAGGTGTCTCAGCAGCCCGTTGTTTGAAATAAATATGGGAAAACATTCTTGATTTGATTTATTATTGTCACATGTACCTAGGTACAGTGAAAAGTTTTGTTTTGCGTGCAGTACAGGAAGACCATTACCATACTAAGTGCCTTATGGTAATAGAACAGAGCGAGTAATATAATGTTACGGCTGCAGAGAAGGTGCATAGAGAGTGAGATCAACATTAAGTTTGAAATTTGAGAGGTCCATTCAGAAGTCTAATAACAGCAGGGGAAGAAGTTGTTTTTGAACCTGATGGTTTGTGTGTTTAAAAATATTTAGCCAGTGCCACAGTTGATGAGAGAAGGTAACAAGTCTCTCAGTGCCAGTTCCCAGGAGGCTCCTCTCTCAGCTGATACTCAAAAAATGTACTGAGTAAGAGTAGGATTAGGAAACACAAAGGACACAGTTAAAGTTCAATTGGCTAAATCACAGATAGGGGTGGGAGCTCTGTGCTCATAATTTACCACACAGACTTGGAAAAGCCACTGAACATGAAACAGAGGAAAGCTGAAGGGAATTCAATCCTCAGCACATCGCCCTCAATAATATCGAGTGTTGATGCCACAGGGTGTCAACTGGCCATTGCTGGCAAGGCCAGCTTTTATTGCCCTGAGACGGTGATGATGGATGTTTTTGTTAAACTGCTAAAAAGGAACGTGGCATTGTGGTTTGATAAAATAGATTGGTTTGGTAGTAGCTCAGATCAAAGGGCAGGTAAGGGTCATCCACAGGAGGCCAGGCCAGATAAAAGACGACAACTTCCCCTCCCTGAAGGGCATTGGTGAACCAGTCTGGTTTATATTTGGACCAGTTTTTAATGGTCACTTTTACTGATATCAATGACTCATTTCCAGACATTCCTTAAAAAAGACTTCAAATTGCTTTGTGAAGCAACATTGAATCTAAGAAATCTATCACTAACAGGAGAATTAAAAAAAAGTAAAAAGAAAAATATTTTAATGATGTTGTTACCCACTTTGTCCTTTGTCAGATGTTGGGGTGTCACTTCTAGATGTGCTGTTGCTCCGGGGCACATTGCATCGCGTTGCACATCCTACCAGGGTGATTCCTGCTAGTACCCCTTCAGTTCCACTGGAATCATCCGGATTCAAGTCTCCCTCTAAAAATATCTCTCCGGCCGGATAGTCATTCTCGTTCGCAGCTGATACAAAAAGAAAAGGAAGAGTCTCACCGTGTTGTAGCGATGGCAATGTTTTTAAAAGAACCTATCAGACAGCATCCAATAGTCAGGAGGCTTTCAAACGATTGACAGTTCGTTTCCTTTCCCAGTTAAAAAAATTCAACTTCAACAATTTCAAAAGTTAGACGTCAACACGGCTAATCACTTAGAAAATGTGAGATTTCAAAAGACGTAGTCATCCCAAACTGATTCACAGTCGTTGAGCAGTGGGCATGCTCAGAACGGAGGCCTCTCCTTAGTTGTAGCTTACCTGCCCCCCTCTAATTCAACCATATCAGGGGGGTACATGGTTTAGATGCACATTATGGGTTCCCTCATGCTATACTAACAGTGCTGTACTGAAAACCAGCAAGAGGAGGATGCTTTGAGTGGAGTTTCATCTATAAAATATTGACAGGTCATGGATTCTAATTGGCATCCTGATGTGAACTGCCTTCCCAAGAACATCCAACCTGGAATTTCAGCCAGCCCATTTGTGGGGGAACAGCGTTGTTTTTTTTGGGGGTGGGGGTGGGTGAGAGTGTGAGGGAGAAGGATGCGAGGAGAAGCTGAGCAGAGGGAGCAAAGTCAACAGCTTGGAATATTGAAGCAGAACCAAAAAGGAGAACTCGGGCCTCTTCTGACTCCATGGTGAACTACGTATCAAAATAAAACATGATCTGTTTCTCAGCAGCTTCCAGCAGTCTCTTTAATGACCACCATTTAGCTCGTGGTACACCCCTCTCCTTTCTTTGTTCATTGGTATCAGAATCTTGAAACATGGATCCAATAACCTAGGATCCTGTTCAAACACTTGGAAGCCTCTGACGTTTTGGAGTAGATCTGTAGCTCGGGTTGTGGGTGTTGAGGTTGGTTGGCTCGCCGAGCTGGTTTGTTGTTTTGTAGATGTTTCGTTACCGTGCTTGGTAATATCCTCAGTGCAGCCTCTGATGAAGCGTCGGTGTGTTTTCCCGCCTGGTTTTTAAACTCTGGCGCCCGTTGAGATGGATTGCCTCACTTCCAGGTTTCCTTCGTAGTGGAATGTATATGGGGTCGTGCTCAATGTGTTTATTAATAGCATGCTTCGTGGAGCACCATGCTTCCAGGAATTCTCGTGCTTGTCTCTGCCTAGCCTGTCCCAGGATCTTGGTGTTGTCCCAGTCGAAGTGGTGGTTCTCCTTGTCCATGTGGATTGAGATGAGTGAGTATTGGTCGTGTCTTTTTGCAGCCAGTTGGTGTTCATGTACCCTTGTTGTTAGTTTCCTTCCTGTTTGTCCGATGTAGTGTTTCTCGCTGTCTCTGTGAGAGAGAACTCGACCCCATATACATTCCACTATGAAGGAAACCCGCAAGTGAGGCAATCCATCTCAACGGACCCCAGGGTTTAAAAACCAGGCGGGAAAACACACCGACGCTTCATCAGAGGTTGCACTGAGGATGTTACCCAGCACGGTAACGAAACGTTTGCGGAACAAGAAACCAGCTCGCCGAGCCAAACAACCTCAACTTGGAAGCCTTTATGCATTCCTGGAAAGGACTGGCCACCCAAGATCATTCCCCATAAAAATCACATCCCAATCCTTTCGATCTCACTCAAATTGGGTGCAACAGGGAATATTATGCTCCCCACCACTACCCACCCGGTGTGTACTCCTAGCTTAAAGTTGCATTCTTACAACACCAGTGGGACACTTCAGGTTTGTGTACCAGTCAAACTGGCAGCATTGAGTTTGTCCGAGTGTGTTAACATTAAATTCCCCTTCAAGCTGATACACTGTGAACAATGGATTATCAGAAGGTCCAAATTTATCCAATTAGTTCTCCTAAGAGCCATTACAGAGACAAGTATGACATTCGTTTATACTGAGTGTAGGACAGCAACAGCAGACAGTAGGCTAGCCCTGTAGTCGCAGGGTGCATGCCAGAAAGAAGTCTTGCCATACAGGCAGTGCAGAGGAGGTTCACTAGACCAATACAGGGAGGACAAGACTGTTAGTATTGACAGGCCCAGTAGAACCAGTGTCTAGAAGGATGAAGGCGAATCCAATTGAAACATATTAAATTCTAACACAGCTGGATGGACTAGATACAGGGAAATGTGTCGCCAGGTTAGACAGTCTAGAACCAAATGGTCACAGTCTCAAAATTTGGGGTAGATCATTTAGGGCTAAGATGAGGAAAACTTTCTTCACTCAAAGTAACGAGCCTGTGGAATTCCCTAACACAGAAGGCTGTGGAGGCCATGTCACTGAATATATTCAAGAAGTTAGTAAGCCTTCAGATTTTAAAAGGTTGCAAGGTATATGGGGAGAAAGCGTTTAGAAAGAGGATCAGACATGATCATATTGCATGGCGGAGCAGGCTCGAAGGCCTGAATGGCCTACTCCTGCTCCTAGTGTCTACGTCTACGTCTATGTCTAACACATTGCACGCACCAACCCACATTACAGAAAGGAAGCTCTTTTATAGAGTCATGCCAAGATTTTAACAAGAGCCAGGAAAATTTCTAACTCAGGTTATCCTGTAACCTATCTCTGACAGAGAGATGCAATCCCCAATCCATCAGCCTGGGCTGGCCTTGCTCATAATAATCCAAACTGCCATCCAGCCCTATTCCATGTACATGCATCTAGGTTGAAGAGCACCATTGTCTGTATTCTGAGCATTGGAAATTGAACAGCTGTTATATTTCATCCCTAAAGACACCTCTGCAACATCCAGTAGTGTCCACCTTCAGAAAAGGCTATTGCTCAAAACACCTACCACCAGTGCCAGACAGGATTGTGCTGACAAGGGGCCCCGTGTAATGCCTATTGCCCAGATACAAAGACCAGAGAAAAAATAGGGCAGGTGATATTATTGAATCTCAAACTAGAAGGCAAAGTATATAACTAGAAATGAACAATTTTGTCATTAAAAAAGTTTTGTTGAAGCTTTTCATCATGTACTCATCAGGACAATTTGCAAGAATACCAATTCAAATTAAAAACGAACATTTAGACTGCGTAAATGGAGAGTGCCAATTGGTTGGCAAGTGGACTGCAGTTGGGAAGTAGATTCTGCAGGAGTCTGCTTGCTAACCAAGCAGTACTTTCCTCATATAGAAATAAAACTGTTGGTTTTCCTCTTGAATTGGTATTCTTGCAAATGGTCCTGATGAGTACAAGATGAAAGGCTGTGACAAAATGTGTCTTTTCTTCAGCAATGCTCGAGCACTGTCCTACCAAACAAATCCTTTGCTCGATAACAGGTTTACTCACAGAATGCAGAATTACATACCTTTACATCCTGTCTACAAGTGCCTCTTCAGTTTAGAAAACAGAAGAAAACAAAAAGGAGCTAAATTAAATGAAATTAAGCCAAGTAGCCCTTAGAAGAATCACTGTGACACAAGATAAAACTCCAAATGAACTTACTAAATCAAATTAATATTTAGTTTCCTGGAATGATCATATCCCTTTTATAAGTGCTGTACATATTCAATTAAACAATGCCCACTACCTGTATCTTAACAACGCAATTAACATTCCATTAACAGAGGAGAACAGCCCTTTCTATTGACCTGAGATTTCACAAGACTCCTTTTTGCAGAGAAAATTCCTGAAGTACACATTCAAAAGAGGTGAGAGGGCATTCCCAGGAATACTTCCTCTATTTCTTAACATTGTAGACACGGGGGATTTGCACATCGTGGCATCCTAAGGAGTGAGCAATGGGCTGGCACCATGACCTTGGAGGGACTAAGGTGGTGGTTAATCTACAACATCTTGAGGCTTTGCAACAGTAGTCAGGATGACTGGAGTCAGGCAGCCAAGCCAGCAGCTACACTCCACCTTTCTCCATTCTTCACCAGTATGTGGTTTTACCAAGAAACAGGATTGTCCTGACAGTGCAACCAAGTGTCATTAATGCAGTAAGGCTGGGTACAGTCAGGCATGTTATACCCTCAATGCACTACAGCTCTCCATTGCCTTGTCTTCCAGGTTAGTTGGTTCCATTGTGAACAAGCATGTTGTTTTTTGTAGGAAGAGTTCACAATCCCATCACTTTTTTAAATTCACTCATTGGGTGTTGGTGTCGCTGGCTGGGCCTGCATTTATTGCACATTTCTCGTTGCCCTTGAGAAGGTGGTGGTGAGCTACCTTCTTGAACCACCACAGTCCACGTGCTGTAGGTTGACCCACACAATGCCATTAGAGGGGAAGTTTCAGGATTTTGACCCAGCAACAGTGAAGGAACAGCGATATATTTCCAAGTCAGGATGGTGAGTGGCTTGGAGGGCAACTTGAAGTTGGTGGTATTCCCATGTATCTGCTGCCCTGGTCCTGCTGGATGGAAGCGGTCTTGAGTTTGGAAGGTGCTATCTGAAGATCTTTGGTGACTTTCTGCAGTGCATCTTGTAGGTAAGTACACACTGCTACTACTGAGCTTTGGTTGTGGGAGAAGTGGATGCTTGTGAAGATGGTGCCCAGCCAAGAACTTGAGAATGTCCTCACTTATTCCAGGGCAAAGGCAAGTGGAGCCTATGGGATTCTCAGGGATATAGTTATGCAAAAACAAAATTGCTCCATGACATGGCTATGCAGCTCCTATGTCCACCAGCAAAACAATTACCAACATGGTTAATTTCTTGCAATACCATGGAACACACTCTGAACATAAAGCCTCCCACACTAGCCACACACACACACACACACACACACACACAATGATTTGCCCACTCCAGGTGACAAATTGTAAACAAAAAAATTCTTGAAATGCCTGACACACGTGTGATCAAGTCCTTACTGATGGGTTGCATTTATTAAACCTGGAAATGTCACTGGGTGACCGGAAATAAAACTGATGTTAGATGTATTTCAACCTTAGTTATGTAACTGGCATCAGTAAACAGAGAAGCGCAGAAAATAGGAACAGAAGTTGTCCATTCAGCCCTTCAAGTGTACTCTGCCTTTCAATATGAAGATGGCTCATCATCCAACTCAGTATCTGGTTCTCTTTCTTCCCAAATCCTTTAGCCCTATGAACTCCCTATGAACTGTATCTAACTCCTTCTCGACAACATTCAATGTTTTGGCCTCAACCGCTTCTTGTGGCAGAGGATTCCACAGACTCCCCGCTCTTTGGGTGAAGAAATTTCTCCTCATCTCAGTCCTAAATCACCCAACCTGTATCCTCAGACTGTGACCCCTGGCTCTGGAGTAAAGGCATATAGTCCAAATATTGTGCGTCAGTGGCCCTAGTCAAAGAATTGAGCTAGGGAAACAGAAATCTCAATCCTTGTTCATGATAAATCTTGATACAGAGATGGACAATTAAGGAATCCTGCTAAATTTCTTGCAATTCAATCTTTTAAGGCAATCAGTCTCGAAACTAACCTGAATAGACAGATCCGTCCAACTGCAGTGATGATTGGCAGACAATATATTATGCTCAAACTATTCTGCAAACACAGTGTAATTTGAATATTGTTTATTTTCACAGTGTTTTAGTTTGACAGCATCCCTTTTTTAACTCACTGGTGAGATGTGGGCATTGCTGGCTTGCCAGTATTTACTGCCTGTCTCTAGATGCCCTTGAACTGAGAGGCTTGCCTGGCCTTTTCAGAGGGCAGTTGAGAGTCAACCACATTGCAGTTGGTATGGAGTCACATGGAGGCCAGATCAGGTTAGGATGGCACACTTCCTTCCTTAAAGGACATTAGTGAGCCAGATGGGTTTTTCCAACAATTAACAAGTTTCATAGTCATCAGTAGACTCTTAATTCCAGATATCTTATTGAATTCAAATTCCACCATCTGCCGCGGCAGGATTTGAACCTGGAACCCCAGAACATTAGCTGAGTTTCTGGATTAATAGTCTAGCGGTAATAGCACTGGGCCATCACTTCCGTTAAATCCCACTCCCAACTGCCGAGCTAACAGAGCAAATAAATGTCTGAACAACACACACTGCTGCTCTGAACTAAAGACAGACTTGCATTTAGATAGTGCTTTTCATAAGTGCTGGATGACTGCAAATGCTTCACAACCAACAGACAGCAAGCTCCCACAAACAGCGGTGTGATAGTTACCGGGGATTTTATTTTTTGGATGTGATGTTTATTGAAGGATTTATACTTGGACAATACTTGGTTTTTCTTCAAAATAGTTTCGTGCGAACTTTTACACCCACCCTACTGGACAGACGGGACCTCGGTTCACAAAGTGGTATCACCGCTAGACTATTAATCCAGAGATCCAGGTAATGTTCTGGGGTTCCAGGTTCAAATCCCAGCTTGGCAGTAGATGGTTGAAACTGAATTCAACTTAAAAAAAAAAAAAAAAAAAATCTGAAATTAGAAGTCTATTGATGACCATGAATCCATTGTCAATTGTCAGGAAAAACCCATCTGGTTCACTAATGTCCTTCAGGGAAAGAAATCTGTCAAAGTCATACAGCACTGAAACAGATCCTTTGGCCCAACTTGTCCATGCTGACCAGGTACCCCAAACTAAACTTGTCCCATTTGCCTGCATTTGGCCCATATCCCTCTAAACCTTTCCTAACCATGTACCGTCCAAATGCCTTTTTAAATGTTGTAATTGTAGCCACGTCTGCCACTTCCTCTGGCAGTTTGTTCCATATATGCATGACCTTCTGTATGAAAAAGTTACCTGTCAGGTCCCATTTAAATCTTTCCCCTCTCATCATAAAATTATGCCTTCTATTTTGAGCTCTTCATCCTTACTTGGTCTGGTGTCCACGTAACTCCAGACCCACAGCCATGTGGTTAATTCTTAATTGCCCTTGGGGCATTTTAGGGACGGGCAATAAATGCTGTCCTGGCCAATAACGCCCACATTCAGCGAACGAATAATGAAAAAAAAAATGAAAGACAGCACTCCCCTCTTCGGCTAAAAGTAACGCAGAGGGAGCAGGTCCTCGTCACCCCTTGACAGCAATGGCAATGATTAAAACTTATTTTTTTTTTTTTTTAAATATAATATTACAATATTAAAATGAACTAAATGCAGAAATGAGGGGAAATGTTTTCCTCCAGAGAGTGGTGGACCTGCTGAAATCTCTGCCGCAGAAAGTGGTTGAGGGCAAAACACTGACTATTTACAAGGAGGAGTTAGATTTAGTTCTTGGTACTGAAGGGATGAAAGGGTACAGGGAGAAACCAGGAACAGGGGATTGAGTTGGATAATCAGTCACGATTGTACTGAATGGCAGAGCAGGCTTGAAGGACTGAATGGCATACTCCTCCTCCTATTTTCTATGTTCTTACGAAACAAATAGGCTCAAACATTTGGCTTTATGCATGATAATCTCTAAAGACTTTAGTTATAACTCTAAGTTCTAAAACCAGCTGCGAAATATTTTGCCTGTACACAATCCATAACAAATTATATGGAAACAGAATGCCAACAGTATCTTACTGTAGCTATCCCAACTGGACAGGCCTATCATTGCAGAGTAGCTATTCAGTACAGTACTCACCCGGGACACTGGTGATACACAGCACATGGGCATTGCACACAATAAACTGATCCATTATGGTGCCAGGCTGGTTGGCATCAATGATGACAATTTTACTGGTGGAGTGTGTGCTGGTGCAGATCCACACACGGCTCGAGACATCCTCTGCACTGGGAATCTGGAGGGAAGAATCACAAAAAAAGTCAAAGAACTGACCGAGCACAGGACAAACTCAGACAGAGACAGACAGAGACAGACAGAGACAGACAGAGACAGACAG